CACCTATTGTTTTATTTTTGTTAAAATTGTTCTATTCTGTACCACTTTGTGTTTTGTTTGTGAATGTACTTTGAGATATTTTTTGTAAATACCTGTGTGCGGTCGTGTTACGATCGCGGCTCGCAGCAGTGATGTTCAGAATCGATTATCATTTTAAAGATAAAACATACGACAAATATAATGTATACGCTAACTCTGATGAGAGATTTTTGCTCATTCATTAACGAAAAAAAAATGGTGTTGAAATATTGATTTTACCAAATTAAATAATCTTATTTAATATTTTATGTTGTATTTCAAAATGCAATTAAAAGCTCAAAGAAATATATATGTTAAATACTTTAATTGGTTTCTTTTATTTAATACATCCCTTTAACAAAATGTGGAAGGTGGGAATCTACTGTCTGTACACAGGCAAAACTTATCTTTATTGTTCTCAAAGTGAACAAGAGAGAAAATAATTCAGATGTTTCATCAAAACATGTCAAACTGATCACTAAAAGCTGAACTAACCCTCAACTAAATTGTTAGCTGAACAAGAAGACTGTGATGCCAATACCGTTTTATCCATTGTTTTCTTTCTTCTAGAACATGCCATAATTATCTAAGGAATAAAAAAAACACTTACAAATCACACATAACGTTTTAAACAATTTACATTAATATAAATCCCTGTAGAATTAGATTAATTCCGTATCTCGACATTTAACTCTGAAATAGACGTAAAGTTTTACGAATGTAGTGTTTGCAGCGCCATCTGTTATTCAAGAAAGTGAAATATTTAGTAGTGAAGTTTAATAAAAGGCGAACGAGAGATTAGAGTTTTCTCTAGCATTACCTACATAGTTTACATATTTTTGAAAATATTTAATATTAACACACTTTAATAAAATTCATTTAATTATTATTTTCTTTGTTTGATTTTACAATGTTAATCATGCCAAATGTCACGTTTAGGGTTTTTGTTTCATTTTTTAATCATTGTTCAATAAACGTTATCTGTGGATGTCACATTACGATTCAAGAGTTGATTGATTTGTGATATTTTACTAATAACGAGTTCTATTAGCTGTTGATAAGGAATCAATACGAGAACGACCTTCCCGGTCATAGATAACCGTCAACTACGCTGTTGATCCTTCCCAATCAGAAGGTCGATGTCCTGATTATAGACGCGTAGTAAACTAAATTAATAAATACCCAATAAAGTACACTAATTCATAACTTATAGAAAACAAAATTTTACGATCGTAACACTAAGACCCTTTGTACACAAGGAATGTTAATTTGAGTAATCTGTCGATTTTAGTTGTTAAGCGATCTACGCAATACAATTTCAAAGGGTCGTTCAATTGTCATTACCATTGCAACCTGATTGTCAAAATCGTCATGAGACAAGTTGCTTCGATATTTTATTATAATCAGCACCAGCTTATTATAAGTCCCTACCGAGGGGCTTGGAGCCTACCCTAATATGAGGTGACTAGGCCATAGTCAACCACGCTGGCCAAGTGCGGGTTGGTTGACTTCACACATATCTTTGAATTTCTTCGCCGATATGTGCAGGTTGTATCACGATGTTTCCCTTCACCGTAAGAACGTCGGGTTAATTATGTACATATGAAAATTCGAAAAATAAAAAAAAATCAAAAATCACATTGGTACATGGCGGGATTCGCACCCAAGAGGTGTAGATTACAAGTCAAGTGTTCAAACCACTGAGCCACCGACGCTCTAATTATAATTCACTGACTGAATAAGTCGCGTCAACGATTCAAAGCTATATTGAGCGAGGGCTACGCGATTTAATTTGCTTTGTGTACGAATAGACTAATCGATAGGTAGAAGTTTGATTTCCATACATGTTTTCCAATGAATTTTACATTTTAAAAATTAATTTCAGAAATTATTGGTACAAGTAAAATCACCCCTAACTTTAACATAAAGCCAACGTTCAGAGGTCACTGAGCGAGACATCTCAACTCTTAGGGAACCTCACCTCAATCACGGTAATGACGTCATTTGTATCTGTTTGCGACTTTCAGGCAGGTCTGCGACGAAATAAGTGTTTACGAGTCCATTGCTACTTTTACTAGTAGTATGGTAACTGGTTGTAACATAAAGGCGCAATGGATACCGAATAAGGTTAGTAGATGACAGACGACACGTCAGTCAAACGCTTGAACGTTCAATGTTTGTAGAACATAGGGACGGAAATTCTGATCAAAAGCGTTTGGATAAATAAATTAAAGACATTACTAAAATATCTAAGAACATGATATCCTGTTTATGTTTTAATCTGTTAAATTTTACCATACTTGGCATGATAGGTTTAGTGTTTTAATTTTTTTTACATTGTTATTATACTACATTCAGCCCGTATTCAATATTACATAAAATCCAGATACGTAAGACCTTCAAATCTAGAATATGAGGGTAGAGTCACAATTAGCATAATTCAACAGTTTACCTCATATGACGTAGATAGGAGCCAAGTTTTCATTGTCATTTGACCTTAAAAAGTATGATTGACTTTGCTCTTAAAAAAACGATCTTAGACAGTGTGTTGTTTGTTTATTATTTTTTTATTTAATTAAGAGTACAATCTTCTTTAGTGTGTTTCCTTTATTGATTTATTTGGAAGTTAATAAAATTCTAATCCTTGATTATTTTCCATGTATGCAATTTCCCGTTCGTATGTTCACTCTCTGAGACAAACCCGCTGTCTGTACATCTAATAATGGCGCTAATTAAAATGACGTTTTGTTTTATGTCGTCAAATTAATGGAGGCCGCAGCCGCGGGCTTCAGCCTCTCCCTCTTGATGGATAGTTTGATTTACAACATTCATATTTGTTAGGATCTCTAAATGGAAGGGTTTTATTAACTATTATAGCTCAGTAAATACTCAAATTGTTGTGGAATGTTGGAATTACTAGCGCTCTGGACAGGATTTCTATAGCGCCTCCTTTACCAGCTTAGGTAGCAGGAGGAAAGTCTTAAGTGTGTATTTCGAAACCTAGTGGCGCCCTCTTCTGTCCAGCGCCCTTAGCAGTTGCTCAACTGCGCCCTTCCCTAACACCCCATAAATCAAACCAATATTATAAATGCGAAAGTTTAGATGGATGGATGGATGGATGTTTGTTAGAGTTTGTAGCCTAAACGGCTGAACGGATCTGGTTTAAATTTGGCATAAATGTAGAGCATAGTATGGAAGAACACATAGGCTACTTACTTTTGTTTTTTTTTTTAATACCACGCGGACGGAGTCGCGGGCGAGAGCTTGTAATTACTAATTCGTATCATCAGTGAGTCCAAATTATTTTTCGCATAGTTTTGTCACTTAAAAGATGTATTTGTGATAATATCAACCCAATAGCATTGTATTTTTAAGGTTATAATTGTTACCAAATATAGATAAACAATATTATTTATTACAAATTTTAATCATGTCAAAACGTGTTCAAAAATATTTTTTTAAGTAGTACAAAAATACTTCGAATAAAACGACCACATTAATGATGGATGACATAATTATCGGAAATACATTTAGATAGCAAATTATAAATACAAATTGTTATCTGTAAGCTTCCGGTTAGAATTGCTTAACGAAAAAAAAAACCCAAATAGGTAATTACGTTGAAATATAATCGAAGGTAGTGATTTCGACAAAAGGTTCGAGTCGATGGTAAAGACAAGTCGTCTATTTGGCTGACTGATGGGTGCCATCGCGGTGACCCCAACGCTCAGTAACTACGTAGATTTAGATCGCGGAATAAATGATTTACTTTGAGGTTACCTTAATAAGTGGATTGATGTTCAAAGAGACCTGTCATTTGTCTGTGACCTGCGGCAAGGGGACGGACTCGGAACACCACTTCATATATTTACATCTGCTTTGGTTACCTATATGAAAATTGCTTCGTTATTAAAGCACCTATTTCGCAATATTCTTTATTTTATAAATAACTAGTTGCCCGCGACTCCGTCTACGTGGAATTTTAAAAAGAGTAAGATGCCTGTTTTCTTCCAAGCTACGTTCTACATATATATGTATTCATCCACATCCGTTCAGCTGTTTACGCTACAAATTCTAAAAAAACGTTTATTCATACACTTTCGCATTTACAAGATTACTATGATATAAATAGTTTTATTTATGTTTAAAGGTTCCTTATGAAACATTGAAACTATTATTTTATTATCAGTATTAAAAAAATATTTTAACACAGTTATTTATGAATGATTTTTATATAAATCTAAAGTTAACTGCAGTCTCCAAAGAAAAAAAACAAAAAAAAACTAGTCTACTTATTTTTAATTTACACCCGTAAATCTGTTAGTTAAAAAAATTTAAATGTCTAAGTAGTCAATTAAAAGAAAAATTGTAATGTATCATTAGAAGTACTAAGTGGCTGGAAATAAAATGCTTTTTACATTTTTATTTATTTTATTTATTTATAACTGCAGTCTCAGTGTCGATGCGGGACGATTAATTAAAATGAACATTAGAAGTTTGCCAGCTAGGTAGTGAGTAACGCCAGGTGGTCAGTGGCAGTTTATTCGACGTTTAAATGATTACCATCTATCACACTAATGGTGTCGGTTCAAATCCCAGATGCAACTGCCCCCGGTCCCGCCCCC